TTTTTTTTTTTTTTACATTTTATTTATTTTTGAGAGAGACAGAGCACAAGTCGGGGAGAGGCAGAGAGAGAGGGAAGCACAGAATCCGAAGCAGGCTCCAGGCTCTGAGCTGTCAGCACAGAGCCCGACATGGGGCTCGAACTCACAAACTGTTGGATCATGACCTGAGCCAAGTCGGACACTTAACCGACTGAGCCACCCAGGCGCCCCTGAGTTTATTTATTTCGAGAGAGACAGACAGAATGAGTTGGGGAGGGGCAGAGAGTGCGGGAGACAGAATCCCAAGTAGGCTTTGCACGGCCAGCACAGAGCCCGATGCAGGAATCAACAAAGCCATGAGATCATAACCTGAACCGAAACCAAGAGCCAGATGCTCAACCAACTGAAAGCCATGCAGGCACCCCACAACCTATTATTTTAAAGATGAAGAATAACCCAAAAGTTCTCAGAATTGTAATTCTTTTGATGTTCAGAATGACAGCGACATTGTAAATAAAAACTTTTGAATATCCTTTGAATGTTCTACCTACCAGTAAAAAGAACGAATCTGATAAATTTTATAGGACTAGTTCTTAGAATTAAAGTTAGCCAAAGGGTGATTCTCAAAATTCAAAGAATGTGAAGATGCTGCTCTTATGCCGTTTTTGTTGACAGAAGTGTTAACACTGTGGGGAATTCAACTTTTTTAATTGCTATGCTAAGAAGAAAACCTTAACCCAGAGGAACATAGTAATAATAATACTAGAGTATAAACGTGATCTGAATTTGAAATATGATCCCCAAATAAATTACTTTGCTGTATTTGATACGTTTCAGTTCTCTATAAGGAAGCAGTCTCCACTTGTAGATGTAGTTACTGTTTATAGAAAGATGTCATGACCTAGCAAAATTAGAAATAGACTAAGTACAAAGATATTTATAGGTCATGCTTTTGACTTAGGTCTTAACTGTGGAACTTTACACTTTTGTCACATCTGTCTGCCATTTTAGCTATTAAATCATCACATTTTAGAACATCTGAGTTGATATTTGTCAGTAATTGTTTACACTGAAATCTACAAAACCCCAAAATAATATAGTCCAACATCATGTCTTTATAAATGTGGAAATGGAGGCCCAGAGAATTGAAGTAACTTTAAGTTACTTAAAGTTAAGACACGGAACAGGTTGGGGCTTGGACATCTACTATACTGTGTCTAATGTACCATTTGTTCTTTTACTTGCAAAATGTTTGCCTCATATCTGTCCTCTCAGAGATGGATTGCAGATTAAGTAAATGATGCTATGACCTTGGTGCTTAGAGTGAAGTAGACAGAAAGCTTTTATTGATGTGACAACATGTTATATGAATATAGTTAGAAGTTGTGTCCAGATTTGAAAATGAGAAATTGATAATTAATTGACCCCAGGAAGTGTCTGCCACACTTTTGCATATTTGTCAGTTTTCCAGACACGTGGAAGAAGCATCAATCAAATAAAGCTTTGAAATAAAGGCCTATTAGATACACAGCTTAAGTCTTGTGGTTGGTTGTTTGTTTTTCCTGGTAGAAACATGAGCTCAGCAGGCCCTGATGGGAGGAAAGTGATGAGAAGGTGTGATGGACTGATCGACTCACTGGTTCATTATGTTAGAGGAACCATTGCAGATTACCAGCCAGATGACAAGGTGATTCACGCGTTAAATATCTTGCATTTGATTTACCTACTTTGTCTTACTAAGACTCTTCAGAGTATTCTGGAAGTAGCTATTTGGCATTAACTCATTTGCTAAGCTTGAGATATCCCATCCATGCTTAGAAATATTAAAATCTGCCTAACCCCATTTTTCCGTCTACTTTCCAGACCCAAATTTACAATTAGCCATTTAACAACTCTGTGTAGATATTTGAATGGAGGCCTGTGCTACATGTACAGCAATGAACTTAAATTCATCTCTTCTCTTACTCCCAAACTTGCTCCTTCTCTGAATAATCCTTCTTAACAGTTATCACCATCCACCAAATGAAAGCAGAAATCTGAGTAATGTCCACCTACCTTCCTTCCTCACGTCCCGTATCCGCCAGGCAGCAAACCATGTGCGCTCCACCTCAGAAACGCCCTCCAGTTCGTCCTTTCCTCCCTCATACTGCTGCTGCTGCCCTGGTTTGTGCACCTTTCATACTGATCACCGCAGTAGCCCCTAACTGGTCCTGTAAACAATAGCTTCCGTTTTCCAGCTCCATGTGACTACTAAATTATGCATCTTAGAATATAGAATCGTTCTGAACACACCCTTAAAAGTGAACTAGAAAGGCTCTCCGGGGTTGTTAGAAAGTCGGCCTCTATGTCCTAATGTTGTGCTCGTGACCGTTCGCGATCTAGCCATACTCGTTCCACTCCCCGCACCCAGGGAACCCCACAGTCCAAGCATCCCCTACAGCATCCAGTAAACTGTGTAAGATCTAAAACCTAGTAAGGCCTGTGATAGGTGATAGCATACGTGCAAAGGGGCATCTATGTGTATATGGTCAATATGCACATCCTCTCTTCTCAGGCCACGGAGAACTGTGTGTGCATTCTTCATAACCTCTCCTACCAGCTGGAGACAGAGCTCCCAGACAGATACTCCCAGAGTATCTATATTCAAAATCGGACTATCCAGGCCGACAACAACAAAAGTATTGGGTGTTTTGGCAGTCGAAGCAGGAAAATAAAAGAGGTATGTTGGGAAGACTTTGAAAGCCAAAGTGTGTATGTGTGTATTTCTGAGTACTTAGTGTATCTCAGGCACTATTTTAATTTGTTCTAATCCTTACATCCACCTTACGAGGTGTGCATTGTTGGTATCCTCATTTACTGATGAGGGAACAGAAGTACCGAAAGGTTAATGAATTTTCCCAGAAAAATTTAGGAAATTAGTAGAGGGGATAGAATTCAGTCCTGGGCAGTCTGGCTCCAGATTTGCATTGTTCACCGCAACGTCATACTGCTGTATGCTTTATGAGTTAGGAAATAAGCTTAATATAGTATAGTCAATGGTGTAGAAATTGCTTAACATTAATAGCGACCCTGATGCTTGGCTCTGGATATCCTAAAAGTACACCCATATGAAGAAATACTGTGCATTCTGGCATTTTGTGAAAACTGGAAGAATGTCACCCCTCCTATTCCTCAGACTATCATGGTGTGTATTTGTGAACTTGGAGAGCAACTGGTAAGTTTAGAATCCTGATGTTATCCCAGACAACTTCACAAGACTTGGGGAAGAGGCCTGTTTTTCTTATCTCCAGGGTGGTTGTGACTAATTTAGCTTCTAGCTTAACAGCAGCCTGAAAACTATTCTAGAATAGCCTATGCTTAATTCTCTTAGATTCTCTTTCACTATGAAATGTAAAGTTGGGAGGTTTACAGGATGTTGTTAAGGAGAAACAGTCATTGTGAGCTCAAAGTTAACTGATTGGATATCATACCTATTTGCCTTTTCGTTTCCATACCAGGCGCTTGTTATTATGCAAAGTATTAGTCTCTCTAGACTAGATGGTATTTCTGCTCTCTTGGTTTGGGTGTGGAATTGTAGAAATGACTCGAAGGCATTTAATTCTGGATTTCATTGTGTATGTGGTTAGCAATATCAGGACATGCCAATGCCGGAAGAAAAGAGCAACCCCAAGGGTGTGGAATGGCTGTGGCATTCCATCGTGATAAGGATGTATCTGTCCTTGATCGCCAAGAGTGTCCGAAACTACACTCAGGAAGCGTCTTTGGGAGCTCTGCAGAATCTCACAGCAGGAAGTGGACCAGTGAGTATCACCCCTCTTTTTCTGCTTTTTAAAAACAACGACATTGTTGGGGTGCCTGGGTGGCTCAGTTGGTTAAGTATCGGACTCTTGGTTTCGGCTCAGGTCATGATGTCACAGTTCGTGAGTTTGAGCCCTGTGTCGGGCTCTATGCTGACAGTGCGGAGCCTGCTTGGGATTCTCTGTCTCCTCTCTCTACCCCTCCGCTGCTGTCTCTGTCTCTCAAAATAAATAAATGAACATTAAAAAAAATAAGGACGCTGTAGGACATACCTACATCAGGTTCAGAGATGAGGTAGTAAAGTAAGAGCAAAAGTTTTTCTCTCTTCGGTTAAGACAGTTCTCTATAATTTCCAGCAAGAGTTCCAGCTTTCTAGGACTTTCAGCCTCCATTTCTACAGAACCAAGTCAGGCTGTGAGTGAAAGACTCCTAGATATTTATATTAGAGCTCTTTCAGTTACAAGTCTCAGAATCCTACCTACTGGCCTGGGCAAAAAAGAGTAATTTCTTGGCTCATTTAGCTGAAAAGTCCAAGGTGGTGGGTAAGGTGCTCCAACAATTGTAATTATAACTTTATCTCTGGGTTCTCTTTGCTCTTTTGGTTTTATTCTCAAAGGCTCTCCTCATATGGCAGCAAAGGTCACCAGTGATTTCAGACTTACCTTTTATCCAGGCCAGTGTCCCCACAGAAAAGAAACTACCATTTTCTCAATAACTCCATTTGGAACTCAAGACATAAGTTTCACTTGCCCATTTCTGAAGAAGTACCTGTGGCTAGGTACTTCCAGGACTCGGTAGTGTGCCCACATGTGAATTTCAGGGGATGGGTTAGAGCAGGCAGGGGTCACTGCCACTTGTATCACATGGACTGAAATGCTAAAGGAGTGGCTCATCACCAAAAGGAAGAATGAGTGCTGGGCAGGCAAAAACAACAGATGTCTACTGGGTATGGAGTTGGAAAGGACATCTGTGCTTTTGTGCCCCAAAAACTCAACTGCAGAATAAGGAGCTGCTTCTCTTCCTGATGTGCTTACTTTATACCAGCAAAGTCAAAAATATATAAAACAGTAAAAGCTTATTCCATCCCCCATGTATTTTACACCTTACTTCATAGTTAGGGATTCTATAAACATGTACTTATTTGAACTAAGCTTATATTCCTTGCCTTGGTCATGAAATCATTAGAATAACCCCCCCCCCATAATAGTTCATAATATGTCCAGTTTCCAATTATCCATCCCCATAGAGAAGAATACTCTTCTGGATAACAAAAATATTATTTATTCTTTACTTGAGAAACCATGTTCATTCTTTAATGTGTTTCTAGAGAAGCCTGCTCTGTTTTGAACAAAATTGTGAAATAGTAAAACCAATATTTCTCTTAACACAAATAGGAGTGCCTGGGTGGCTCATTCAGTTAAGCATGACTCTTCATTTTGGCTCAGGTCATGATTTCGAGCCTTGTATCAGATTCTCTTCTGGGTGTGGAGCCTGCTTAAGGTTCTCTCTCTCCCTCTCTGCCTGCCCCTCCCCTGTGTGTGCCTGGCTGGCTAAGTCAGTAGAGCATGTGACTCTTGATCTCGGGGTTGCGAGTTTGAGACCCATACAGGTGTAGAGATTACTTAAAAATGTATATACGTGTGTGTATACACACACACACATATATATATGTATATGACAAAACTTTAACCTCTCTGATTTTCTGCAAAATTTACTTGTGCATGAAGAGAAGGAGACAAGAAACTACCAGGAACGACACAGTCCTCTTACCTTCCCATTTTCCCATGCTAGGTTTCCCAAAACCATTTTTTTTTTTTTCACTTTGCCAAACTACAGAAACCCTTCTATTAACTACCAGCCAACTTAAAAGAAAATGCCAGGAATTAACTTGGTGTACATGTATGTGTATGGATATCTGAGTCCACTGTGTTCTGAGTATGGTTCAATATGAGCTAAGCCTTTAAGCTTGGCTTTTAGCCTCTTCCAGTCCAAGATCTCTCATGGAATCCAAACAGTCCAGAAATGTTTCCATGTTCCTGAGGATAGATACTACATACAGAAACACTTACACTACTTAAGTTCTGAATATGTAGTTTATTACCTAGAGCTTAAGTTCCTTCATTCATTTATTAAACAAACATTTTTTGAGTGCCTACTGTATAGCAGGCACTAGCCTAGAGCTAAGCACATAGCAGTAAATAAGATTAAATCCCTGTGTTTGGTAATAATCTAACTGGGATAAACAAAATAGGAATTTAAGGCACTAGGAGATTCCAAGTCCAAAAGGAATCGAAGCATTGGAGATAACCTCATAACTGTCCTAATTGTGTCGAGGCATTTAAAATCATACCTAATGTTAGACCAGTCCAGTTCCCTGAAAGGAGGCTTACACTGAACTGGTATTAATCCATACTCAGAATTGTTAGAGTTTAATTTGACTGGAGATTTATAGGAGAAAATCCTTGGCACCATGGGACAATGATATGTTCTTTTAAGTTAAAAGATGCTTTTTATGAAAATTTTAACTTACATATATATCTTTTCTAGTTATCACTGTTCCTAATTTTGTTATGCTTAAATTGTGTGATAAAAAAAATACTTGGTTTTATAATTTCCAAAAAGAATCATTGAATAGGAAAACATGAAAAGCAGGGCGTTTAAAATAATTTCAGGAAATATCCAGTCTATTAAACTTGTGTTCATAACTGAGATAGCACTGAGTAGTTGATGGTCATGTGCAAAGAGCCTAAACTAGAATGGATACAATGTGTGTGTCAGTTATGTATCAGTAGAAATAAGTTAATTAAACATCACATAGTCAAAGTTAAAAACCATTGAAATAAGCACTTTTCAAATTTCTAAAACACTTTAGAAGTTTTTAATTTCATACCTGTTAGGAAAAAACAAAACATATCCCCTACCCTCACACCTTACTAGAAAACAAGTTCCAACAGCAATGAGATTTAAATGTTAAAGACAAAACTATAAAGCTTGTGAAAGGATATTTTCATGATAGGGGAAGATTATTTAAAAGTGGATGCAAGGGGCGCCTGGGTGGCTCAGTCGGTTAAGCGGCCGACTTTGGCTCAGGTCACGATCTCGCGGTCCGTGAGTTCGAGCCCCGCGTCGGGCTGTGCTGACAGCTTAGAGCCTGGAGCCTGTTTCAGATTCTGTGTCTTCCTCTCTCTGACCCTCCCCCGTTCATGCTCTGTCTCTCTCTCAAAAATAAATAAACGTTAAAAAAAATATTTAAAAAAACCATCTTGTTTAAAAAAAAAAAAAAGATAAAAGTGGATGCAAAAAGTACTACTATAAAGTATGTGTTTTATAAATTGACTACATTAAAATTAATAACTTGTGGTGCTATGCTATCCAAAGACATTGTTAAGACAGTAAAGAGTCAAACCACAAAGTAGAAAAAGATTTTTGCAACATGTGTAAGTAACAAAGGTTGGTATGTAGAAAATATGACAACTCATCGCGGCGCCTGGGAGGCTCAGTCAGTTAAGCGTCCGACCTCGGCTCAGGTCATGATCTCACAGTTCATGAGTTCGAGCCCCGTGTTGGACTCTGTGCTGACAGCTTGAAGCCTGGAGCCTGCTTGAGATTCTGTCTCTCTGCCCCTCCCCTAGTCGCTCTCTGTCTGTCTGTCTGTCTGTCTCTCTTAAATATAAAAAATAAAACATAAAAAATTTTTTTTAAAAAATTCATCAAATTAACAATCAAAAGGTAATCCAAAGAAAACTGGCAAGAGACTTGAACAGGTGCTTCACAAAATGGCCAATAAACATTTGAAAAGGTATTTAAAACCTCCTTAGTAATCAGGACAATATGAACTAGAAGTGCTTTTTGCAAATAGTTGACTAACAGTCATTCTCACATATTCCCTAGAGCTGGAATACAAAAATCTCTTGGGTAAATCTGTCTGTTTACTTTCCTTTTTGAGCAAATTCTAAAGACCACTTCACTTTCTCATTTGCCTCCACGAATCAGAATTAATAAGACTAATATTTAGCTATTCTTTCCCCTGATTGATTAAACATCATTTGAGAATCCACACTTCATCTAGACTTGCATGTTTCCAATTATCATTTTTATATGCTAACATCAAAGCGCTTTATTATATATAAGAATATATCATTAGGTGGTATAGTATGATATACGTACAAAACAAGATTTTAATTTTAAAAGCATTTTATGTCTCAAGAGAAAATAAAAATTTTGAGAAATATCTTGTGATGTTTTAATCTATCTTGATCTCCTGAGATGATAGTAAATCTTTAGGAAAACTTGATAACATATTATTCATATAGTTCAGTTCAATAAATATTTACATAGGACCTCTCATGTTCTAGGCACTGTACAAGGCACCGAAAGGAAAAAAAAGAGTTGGATAAGATCCATTTCTTCCTTTAAAGGAGCTTCTAGCAGGAGAGATAGCAGTTTAGTATAGTTGTAACCTAGAGAATTATTAGGGAGTAATGATAAGGAAAGAGGAAAATGGATACCAGGCCAGACGAAGACATCTGAAGACCATTCTGGAAACAATGGAGAGTCATTACAGAGTTTAAACCTGAGGCGGAACATAATCAGATTAAATTTTAGAAGAGTCATTCTGGTGTGAGGCTTTGAATCCCCAACTGGCATTTAAAAAACAGAAAGTTGGGGCGCCTGGGTGGCGCAGTCGGTTAAGCGTCCGACTTCAGCCAGGTCACGATCTCGCGGTCCGTGAGTTCGAGCCCCGCGTCAGGCTCTGGGCTGATGGCTCGGAGCCTGGAGCCTGTTTCCGATTCTGTGTCTCCCCCTCTCTCTGCCCCTCCCCCGTTCATGCTCTGTCTCTCTCTGTCCCAAAAAAAAAAAAAAAAAAAAAAAAAAAAAAAAAAAAAAAAAAAAAACCAGAAAGTTGACTGGCAACATTTGGTTCCTAGTGGAGATTGGAGACCATAACTTCGCAGAAGTACCAGTCCGCAAATGCACTATTTACTCTAGCAGTATTTGGTGGCCAAGTATAAAATCAGTTTTGCAATTATACTGGGTAGGTAGAAAATAAGCTGGAATGATAAGAGAATTAAGGGTATTGAAAGATAGTTTGTGATGTGTTGGTTCATGTACAACTAGTCTAAATAAGAAAGAAAGTTAAAACGGAAGAGTATTGGCAACTTGAAGTGTGGGGAGTAAAGGTTGAGATAAGGGCACTGGAGTTCTTGATGAGGCTGAAGAAGAAATATAGTAGGAGTGAGGGACAGAGAGCAAAGTGAACAGGAAATTGTGTTCAGAGTATAACAGTTTATGTTTTCAGAGTCAAGATATTTTGGGATGAAATAGGTTCTGTATGACCATGGAAGTGAATGACTGATGTGTGGAAGAGATGACAGTCAGTGACATTTAGCAAGTCTAGGAACAAAGGCATAATTAATGTGGTCATCTATAGTGAATGTGGAGTGGAGAAGGCTCTGAGCCAGGCTCCGAAGCCTCCAGTGGATGTTGGGAAAGGAACGGTAGGCCTTGAGATGACAAAGAAAATGCTATGGGAGTGATAGAGCTGGATGGCCATGACTCAGAAGACGGAGCTACTGCGTGTGGGGGAAGACATCTAGACGGGCCATTGGGAAGACAGAGGAATGCTAACCTACCTCTGTGCCCAAGTCACGGGAGTGGTACAGAATAAATAGCCTCCTCTGGATGGCTACAGAGGAAGGATTCTTCTCAGAGTGGAGCAAATAGTTTAATGGAGTGCTCTACAAGTTAGTGTGACAGACTTGTTTACAATAAAACATTCTAAAATAGTGATTGTTAAACTTCTTTTGAGTCTTGGACACTTTGACTATCTAATAAAAGTTATAAACCCTTTCCCTGAGAAATTTTATTATAAACACAAAAATAAGTTTTCTTTATTTTTTATTTTTAAGTAATCTCTATACCCAACATGGGGCTCAAACTCACAGTCCCGAGATCAAGAGCCATATGCTCCACCAACTGAACCAGCCAGATGCCCCAATACAAAAATAGCTTTAAGGACTTGCTCTCCTCTCCCTAAAACCTTTCTGGGATCCAATCTTCAGAACCCCTGTTCTAAAAAGTATAGTAGAGAATATAAGAGCAAATCTGCAGGAGGGAGGAGAAAATAAGCAGTATTTAGATAAGATAAACAGAGAAGATAGACACCCTGAAGAATGGTGGGAATTTCTGGCAGGTGGCCTCAAGTTAGCTTCAGATAGAAATCTATAAAGTTGTAGACACAAGCCAAGATCCCTGTATTAGAGGTTTATTGATGCCAGGAAGGTTTTGGTCAGTACTCAAACTAATTTGCCAACCTAATTCCAAATAAGATTGGTCTCTAGTGGACTTGGACCTGGACCAGCAACTTGCATACACAGCCTCTGACTGAAAGCATCGAATTAGAAATAATCTAACGAGCCATACATTCTTTTCTCTAAAGGCCCAATATCTCTTTCAGAATAAACTGGCTTTTTAGAATTGAACAAGTTTATTAAGATCTGTAAAATGCCAAAACTTAAGAAAAAAGAAACAGAAAAGGTGACTAAGCCAACAAATACATCGAATATTAATCAAAGGCATCTCCCTTTAAAATTTTTCTCAGCTCAGTTGTCTTCATGGGTAAATTCCACCAGACCCACAAAGTTGAGATTATACTTACATTACACAAATAGTTCAAGAAAATAGAAAAATGGAAAACATTATGCAACTAATTTCATGACACTAGTGTTTGATTCTAAAACATCATCCTTATATCCTTTTCACAATGCTGAGCTGAAGATATGAATAAAGACGAAAGCAAGGAAAAGACAGGCCCGTTTTATTTACGAACAGGCAAAAATATAGTAGGTAACCAAATCCAATATTCTATTTAAAAATACCTAATAAGCTGTTTTTCTCCAGTAATAAAATTGAAAACGTAATAAGAATTTAAAGGAAGTATCTTCAGGCTGGTTTCATCACAGCTTTAGTTTTAACAGTCTCTAGTAATCTACCGAAATTTAAAATTAGTGTGAAGTCAAATGCAATGATATTGATAAGATGTGTCTCACGCAACAGATGCCAACATCAGTAGCTCAGACAGTTGTCCAGAAGGAAAATGGCCTGCAGCACACCCGGAAGATGCTGCATGTTGGTGATCCAAGTGTGAAAAAGACAGCGGTCTCCCTGCTGAGGAATTTGTCTCGGAATCTGTCTTTGCAGAATGAAATTGGTGAGTCAGCAAACGTGTCTTGATGTAGTGAATACATATCGAAAATATAAATTCAGGGGCACCTGGGTGGCTCAGTTGGTTAAGCATTCGACTCTTGATTTCGGTCATGATCTCATGGTTTGCAAGATCAAGCTCCATGTTAGGCTCTGCCCTGACAGCACAGAGCCTGCTTCGAATTCTCTCTCTCCCTCTCTATCTGCCCCTTCCCTCCCTCCCCTCTCTCTGAAAATGGGTAAATAAACTTAAAAAAAAGAAAGAAAAGAAAATATAGGGGCATCTGGGTGGCTCAGTCAGCTAAGCATCTGACTTCAGCTCAGGTCATGATCTCGTGGTCCATGAGTTCAAGCCCTGCATTGGGCTCTGTGCTGATAATTCACAGCCTGGAGCCTGCTTTGGGTTCTGTGTCCCCCTCTTTCTCTGCCTCTCCACCACTTATGCGCTCTCTCTCTCTCTCTCTCTCTCTCTCTCTCTCTCTCTCTCTCTCAAAAATAAATAAACATTAAATTTTTAAAAAATACAAATGCAACAAAACATTGTCTGTATCACTTTTTTTTTTTTTTTTTTTTTTGCAATGATGAACTGAAAATGTGACTAAGGATCAAAATGTGATAAAACAGACCTGGCCTTTGCACCCAGGCATCAAGGGTCCGCTTTCTCCCAGGGTCTCAAATAGGATTTTTCTTCATATCCAGCATTTTGTTTTGTTTTGTTTTGTTTTTGTTTTAATTACTATAGAAGGGAAACTTGGACCTAATTATAATTAACAAGGTAAGTACATATTTGATGTTTTTGTGCCTTCAGTTGTATCATTGTGGATAGTCTTTTTAACCTATGCACCTGGCTTTCAGGATGCTCTCTGGGTGGCCTATTTAAGCGCTGCTCTTCTCAAACATTGAAAGTGTACACAGAGTGGTATTCACTTTAGAAGCTTGGTCCTTGGGGCGCCTGGGTGACTCAGTCAGTTGAGTGTCCGACTCTTAATTTCGGCTCAGGTCATGATCCCACAGTCGTGGGATTGAGCCCTGCATCGGGCTTCACTCTAAGCATGGAGCCTGCCTGGGATTCTCTCTCTCTCTCTCTCTCTCTCTCTCTCTCTCTCTCTGCCCATTTCCCCCGTTCACTCTCTCTCTCTAAAAAAAAAAGAACAAGAAGAAGAGACTTGGTCCTTGTTGCACTAGAAAAAAAATGAATGAACAGATCACACACAAAAAAAGACAAAAAGGAGTATACTGAATAGTGGATTCAGCATAGATGGTTTTTAAATGAATACAGTGAAACATTTGCTTTATTTTTGAGAGTCTTTATTATTGACAAAGGTGATAACTATTTACACCATCAAATAATGTTTTCATTTGCTTTATACATAGAAATGCCGATAAATACTTGTGAGTCAAGTCAAAAACTATAAAATGAGATAATAGGAAAATAATGCCAAAAATCAGTCATGCTTCTAAGGCTCCATAAATTAGTCATTTCTGACAACTTGGAAACTAGTTTTTCACAAATTCCACTAAATTTATAAACAAATGCTCATTTGTTTTGGTGGACACACACACACACACACACACACACACACACACAGCACCAGAGATACTGAAGTCTGATTATGTCTTAATAATGTCATTTCCAAAGCCAACCAGCAGCACAACATTGGAGAGGTAGTTTCATACAATGGTTTCTTGCCCATAATAAATATAGAGAGAGCCTGGAAATTTTTCAGTGAATATGAAAGAAACCTTGCCGTAGGCACTCTGAAAATTATGAAAGTGTTCTCCTCATTGTCCTTTGTGGACTTTTGTGTTGCACTTTAATCAGGTATATTATCTTTGACTTTTTTTTTTTCTTTCCCTAAAGGAAATGTTGACTCCATCTTTAAAACAGTGCCGATGGAAATGACTGTGCTCCACACATTATGCATGTGCCTTCAGGGCAAAAATGCTGTTGGTCTCAGGTTCAACCATCCTCTAACTGTTGGGAAGATACAAATACAGCCCCATACTTTATTTTTTTATAAATAAGCATTGTATTTAATTCTTCAATGGAGCGGGAAATGACCTTGGCAGAATCAAGGTTTTTTTGTATTTCACTACACTTAATGTTTATTTTCTTTGTTTACCTACTTTGAGTGACTTCTGGCCTTCATACATTGCATCTTAAATTTTGTTGACAAGCTTGGGTAATTACAATATTCATACTTTTTTTTTTCCGTTAACAATTAATGGCTTAGCAATGTGACTTCTCATTCCATATTTGTCACTTTTAACCAGAAGCTAGGTAAGTGGAAAATCATTGTTCTGGATGGTTTTATTAAATAGTAACAACATCAATTAAAAAAAGATACGTGTTCATTTAAAAAATTCAAGAAATTAAGAAAAGCATAATAAATGAAGCAAAAAATACTTCCTCTTACCACTTGGAAAATAACCATTGGTAACACTAGGTGAATATTATTCCTGAGATCCTTCTATACCTATCTACCTATGATAAAAGTTTAGACAAAGAGAGAACTAAATAAATCATGCTATTAAAATTGGATCATACATCTAGTGGTTAACTAAAAATTATTAGAGTTAATTTTAACAAAATAAAAGCAAACTGAATGATACAGAATAACTTCAAATACATTTTTCATTACATTTCAGGCATGTTTTAGAGATTGTGATAATGTGTGCTCGAGTTTGTCTCAGTCCTGATCTCTAACTCTTGGCCAAATCTAGAAGAATGTCTTAATTGCATGTGTAGCAATCTTAGTCTCCTCAATCACCAATAGTTCATCTTGTTGTAACATTCATGTCATGTGTGTGCAACGTGTGTCAGTAGCCCGTAAAAAGATAAAACAGAAAGAAACAAAGGAAAGAAGAAGGGGAAGAGGGAGGAAAGTTTCTATTCCAATATCTATATTTATTCCAGTTTGTCATTTTAGTGGTCCTGTTAATTCAAGTGCCATGTAACCTGTAGGTGATGCCTACTGAGCATTATAGGGAGGACCAGTGTTTTGTTAAATAGGTCTGGCCTTCTCCTTCATTATGGAATAGATCCAAAGTATTATTATGTTACAGTCACATCAGAGTTTATGGTGACCTGCCTGATCCAAATCCTCTTACTAATGTAGTTGTTTGCACAAAAAGTTAGTTTTGGGGCGCCTGGGTGGCTGAGTTGGTTAAGTGTCCGACTTGAGCTCAGGTCATGATCTCATGGCTCGTGAGTTCGAGCCCCGCATCAGGCTCTATGCTGACAGCTCAGAGCCGGGAGCCTGCTTCAGATTCTGTGTCTCCCTCTCTCTCTGCCCCTTTCCCACTCATACTCTGTCTCTTTCTCTCAAAAATAAATAAACATTGAAAAAAAATTTTTTAAGTTGTTCAATTTGTTTTATGCAGCCTGTAACTGTGATGAGGCTTTTATCTGTAAAATTCTGATGAGATTATCTGTTATTTTTTTGGCAATTTTTAAATGTTAATTCCAGTGTAGTTGCCATACAGTGTTCTATTAGTTTCAGGTGTACAATATAGTGATTCAACAATTCCATACCTTACTCAGTGCTCATCAAGATAAGTGTACTTTTAATATCCCTTTACCTATTTCACCCATCTCCTCACCCATCTCCCCTCTTGTGACCATCAGCTTCTTCTCTATAGTTAAGCATCTGTTCTTTTTTGTTTTGTCTCTTTTTTTCCTTTGTTTATTTGGTTTGTTTCTTAAATACTACATAGGAGTGAAATCATATGGTATTTGTCTTTCCTTGACTGAATTATTTTACTTATTAGCATTATAGTCTCTAGCTCCACCCCTGTTGTGACAGATGGCAATATTTCATTCCTTTTTATGGTGAATATTTCATATAATACACCCACACCCCGCATCTTCTTTATCCATTCATCTATCAGTGGACACTTGCGCTACTTCTATAATTTGGCTATTGTAAATAATGCTGCAATAAACATCGGAGTGCGTAAATCCCTTTGAATTAGTGTTTTTGTATTCTATGGGAAAATACCCAGTACTGCGATTACTGGATGGTAGAGTAGTTCTATTTTTAATTTTTTGAGGAACCTCCATAGCGTCTTCCACTGTAGCTGCACCAATGTGCATTCCCGCCAATAGCACACGAGGGTTCCCCTTTCTTCACATCCTCATCAACACTTGTTGTTTCTTAAGTTTTTTATTTTAGCCATTCTGACAGGTAAGAGGTAGTTTTTCATTGTAGTTTTGATTTGTATTTCCCTGATGATAAGCAGTGGTAGGCACCTTTTTATGTGTCTGTTAGCCATCTGTATGTCTTCTTTGAAGAAATGTCAATTCATGTCTTATGCCCATTTTTTTAAATCGGATTATTTGTGTTTTGGAGGTGAGTTGTATAAGTTCTTTATATATTTTGCATACTAACCCTTTATCAGATATATCATTTGCAAATATCTCCTCCCATTCCAAAGTTGTCTTTAGTTTTGCTGGTTGTTTTCTTTGCAGTTCAGAAGCTTTTTCTTTTGATATAGTCCCAGTAGTTTATTTTTGCTTATGTTTCCCTTGCCTCAGGAGACAGATCTAGAAAAATGTTGCTATGGCCAATGTCAGAGAAATTACTGCCTGTGCTTTCTTCTAGGACTTTTATGGTTTCAGGTCTCACACTGAAGTCCTTAATCAATTTTGAATTTATTTTTGTGTATGGTGTAAGAAAGTGGTCTGGTTTCATTCTTTTGCATGTTGCTGTCCAGTTTTCCCAGCACCATTTGTTGAAGAGACTGTTATTTTCCCATTGGGTATTCTTGCCTCCTTTGTCGAAGATTAATTGAATATAATTGTGGGTTTATTTCTTTGTAGCCTCATGCTTTCGTAAGATGATCCACTGATAAACCTCCCCTCATTTTAATTACACTTAAATTCACTTAATTCCATGATGTCCATCTAAATTCAGTGGAAAGAAAATTCACATTCTCAAGGCCTTTAATTCTGTGATTTAACATATTAAAAGGAGGAAGCCTTCTGATAATAATTTGTTTCTATTGGGAGATTACTACTTGCAGGGTGCTGTGATCAATTAACACATTAACTCATTTAATCCCTCACAACAACCCTGTGAAGTAGATACTATTATTATCCCATTTTATAGATTAGGACAATGCAGCATTGAGAGGTTAAGCAACTTGCCCAAACCACACAGCCATTGGGTGGCAGAGGCAAGACTGAAACGGAAGAAGTGTGGCTTCAGAGACTGAGCTCTGAGCTCTAAACACTGTGCTGTGATGCTTTAATAACCGTGGAAAACAGAGTTCAGGTCTTTGAGCAGAAGGTGTGTCTTTCCTGCCAGTCAGGTCCACATATTATCAAAGGATGACAATTGTTCAGTTCCTTTTTTGCACACCTCTCTGTTCTAGGCATAGTGATTCATGCTGGAAATACAGAGATGAATTTGATAATTGTTCTCAGGAGCCCATAGCCCCACTTGGAATTCAGACAGGCACATAACTAATTACAATCCAGTATTCTAGAGAAGTGCGCAGTTCAGGGTGCCACATAAACTCAGATGAAAAACAACAAAATTGGGATACCTGGGTGGCTCAGTTGATTAAGCGTCTGACTTCGGCTCATGTCATCGTCTCACAGTTGGTGAGTTTGAGCCCCATGTCGGGCTCTGTGCTGACAGCTCAGAGCCTGGAGCCTGCCTCAGATTCTGTGTCTCCCTCTCTCTCTGCCCCTCCCCTGCTCATACTCTGTCTCTCTCAAAAATAAACATTTAAAAAAAATTTTTTTGAAGAAAATTAAGCAGAAGTTTTCATTATACAATCATGATAAACACAACACTGTATTCAAGAGTTGTGAGGAGAAATAGAAGCAGGAGAAATAGATAGCCAGGAATTTACATACAGAGTGAAAAAATAAAATAGTTTTTTTCTTTTTATTTTTTTTTAATTTTTTTTTTAACGTTTATTTATTTTTGAGACAGAGAGAGAGACAGAGCATGAACGGGGGAGGGGCAGAGAGAGAGGGAGACAAAGAATCGGAACCAGGCTCTGAGCCATCAGCCCAGAGCCCGACGCGGGGCTCGAACTCACGGACCGTGAGATCGTGACCTGAGCCGAAGTCGGACGCTTAACCGACTGAGCCACCCAGGCGCCCCTCTCTTTTTTAAATATTAGTATTATTTGTACATTGATGAAACTAAGCAGTACAGATAATTTTTTTAAAAATTTTCGGTCACCGTCAATATTGTTGTAGAAGAACAAGTCCTATTCATATGTTAGTGTATTTCTTCTCAGGTTTCTTTTGCGTATTTTCTTTTCTAATGTTTATGTTATGGATTATTTAAGTATATTAATTTTTCAGAAAGAATATTAAATATTTTCTTGCGTTACATGTTTCATAAATATTTGGGGGATGTATAATATTCTTTGCAGCTTGGTTTTTGATAGTATCCTATCACTGAGTTACTTGGGCATTTTATCATTTGTCACTTATAGATAATACTATAATAAAAATCTCTGCATAAAGCTTCTTCTATTTTTAAAGTGATATCTTTAGGATGAATTTCCAGAAGTGGAATTACTAAATTAAAGGATGTGAAAGTTTTTTAAATTCTTGATGTTTCTGTCAAATTGTCATTGTCATTTCTATCAAAAGATTTCCAGTGTACTGAGCACTGAGTATCCTCTTTTTAAGAATCTTTTTAAAAATTGAATAATAGAGAGATTACATCTTTCCATATATTTCTTAACCAGTTGTGTTTCTTTTTAAAATATTCTTTACCCAAAATATCTTGGGATATTCAGATTAAGAGACAACCTTTTTAATCAAGTATTCTTCTTCTTTCATTTTATAGCCAAAGAAACTCTACCTGATTTGGTTTCCATAATTCCTGACACAGTCCCGAGTACTGACCTTCTCATTGAGACTACAGCCTCTGCCTGCTACACATTGAACAATATAATCCAAAATAGTTACCAGAATGCACGGGACCTTCTAAACACTGGGGGCCTGCAGAAAATCATGACTATCAGCTCAGGCGATGTGTAAGTCCTGTAGTATCTGCCTGTTGGCTCTCTTCCCTTTCCTCACTACCACTCCCAACACCCATCTGTAAATCTAGCTGTGAATGTGCAATCATTGAGGACCATGGGTAACGTGGCCAAAGAACGAGATTGTAACGCTGGGCCAAATCATTTGGTTCAATCCTTAGTAATCAAGCAAGTGAGAGACTGAATTCTCCAAGCCCAATAGTTGCCCATTATCTTCTAAAGTATCCAGCTAGAGGCACCTGGGTGGTTCAGTTGGTTAAGCGTCCGACTTCTGCTCAGGTCATGGTCTCACAGTTACTGAGTTTGAGCCCTGCATCAGGCTCTGTGCTGACAGCTCAGAGCCTGGAGCCTGTCTCCATTCTTTGTCTCCCTCTCTCTCTCTGCCCCCCCACCCCTGCTCATGCTCGCTCTCACGCTCTCTCTCAATCTCTCTCTCAAAAATAAAATTAAAAATTAAAAAATTAGGGGCACCTGGGTGGCTCAGTCGGTTAAGCATCTGACTTTGGCTCATGATCTCCTGGTTCATGCACTTGAGCCATGTCAGGCCCTGTGCTGACAGCTCAGAGCCTGGAGCCTGCTTTGGATTCTGTGTGTCCTTCTCTCTCTGCCCCTCCCCAGCTCACGTTCTCTCTCTCTCTCTCTCTCTCTCTCTCTCTCTCTCTCTCTCTCTCTCAAAAATAAGTAAACATTAAAAAAAAAAACCCTTAAAAATAAAAATAATTTTAAAAATTTTTAAATGAAGTATCAAGCTAGTCAAATGCCATATCTTCTCTGGGTAGCACATTCCAGCCTTTTATTGACCTAACAAATTCATTTATTTCCCAGAGCCATAACTATGTTTTAAGAATAGGAGAATATAGGCAATATGAAAGTCCTGTGGACAGGGATTGCCCTTTTCCTCACTTAAATCTGGAGCCAGTATCACCCCAGTGGCTTAAAAGAAGCAGTGATAACACAAGAAGTAGGAGGCAACATAATCAAATTCTTGCTTTCTTGGTTTTCTCTATCACATCTCTTCCACGTCTTATTCCCTTTTGAGAATAGAAGTTCTAATGCATATAAGTCATTCCTCATCGCTGTTTCTGTGTCTTTAAATTTTCCCCATTAAAAAAAAAGTGAGGAAGAGAATGAAAAACCTTGTATAACAAAATCATTATTATTAGTTAACTTAGAGATATGGGATCCAAAGAGGGCATGAAGATTATTATATTTTTCTCTTTATACAATTCTGAAGTGTTTGACTTGTTAAATACAAGTTACTTTTATAAATAACCAAGCAAGAGAAGAAATGTTACAGCCCAATTATAATGAGTTGCAAAGCAAACAGACTTTACCTATGGTAGACAAATGTGTGCTTGGCCACACAGGGGCAAGCCTAGGGGTCTGTGGTATCCTGGAGTACTTGTGCTCTGCAGCCCCACTCTGGCAAGCCTCATAGGGAAGGAAGACCATATTCAGAGTCACAGGATAAAACGGAGCACTGGTTAGAATGTGAGTTCCCCGAGTCAGAATATCCACCTGTCCCCAGTGCCTGGCAGAGAGCAGTTACTTAATTTGTGGAAAGATTGAATGATTACTGTTTAAAACAGAAATGACTATTCCGAGTAGTCATCCATGCTCCTAAGCAAATCTCAGTAAGACCTATGATTTTAATTATTTGAGTATTCAGACACATGAGAACTCATGTTCTTTAATTATTTGAGTATTCAGACACATGAGATCTCATAAGCACATGAGAACTTTTGGAAACTTCTTATAGCTTAGCAACAAATGGGGATGTCTGACTCTGTTACTTCCTTTTTGCCTTGAGTGTCCATCCATTTGTGAACCAGTCCTCATATGCCCTGTCTCCAAAAAAAAAAAAAAAAATCAACAAGGAGCTTCTACCAGATGTGCCTGCTTTTCCATCCTTGTGAGAGTGTTGAGTAACTGACCTGTAATTTAAGAGCTAGACTGGAAATAAGTTGCCATATATAGCATTTTTTTTTTCAAATAAATAATTTCAAAGTGCCAAACAACCAGTTGATAAACTATGAATATAAAACATTTGCAATTCAAGGACACTTTCCAATTTTAGATATCAGAGACCCATAGTCTTCATGGATTTATGGGTACTTCAGTATTAGCAAGTGAGTCCAAGAACTCCATGAAGTACTAAAAGAATCTGTGAGGTGCTGATTTGGCTTCCCCTTCATACAAGTCTGGTATGGAAGAGAAAGGCTCTTAGCCAAAGAATGACCCCAAGATGTGCTTCTCCATACAGTACTGCATTTTTAGTTCATGGTTGCCTGTTTACAAATGCCCATGATATGAAAAATTAAATCTTTGTTTCTTTGGGGGCCCCTGGGTGACTCAGTTGGTTAAGCGTCCAACGATTTCAGCTCAGGTCATGATCTCACGGTTTGAGAGTTCGAGTCCCACATTGGGCTCTGCACTGACAGTGTGGAGCCTGCTTGAGATTCTCACTCTCCCTCTCTTCCTCTCCCTGCTCACGCACTCTGTATCTCAAAATAAATAAAATTAGAAAAAAAGCTTTGTTTCTTTGTTAGAAGACAAAATTTGGCCGTATGCGATTTGAGGTGATGGAAAAGAGAGAGCTCTAAGAAAGCAGAGAACCTTAGCCAGAAATAGGAAGTTCAGTACAAATTTAAAAGTGAAACATCAAAAACTAATAAGTACGGTGTTCATTTCTGTGGTGACTTGGCTATATAAGAGGAGTGCATTTTCCATTTGCTCTATACAAGAACAAAGAAATTTTGAAACTATTTTAAATGTTTCAAGAATTTATTAACTTGAAAATATCACTCCTAATTCATAGAGTAGTGTAGGAGGTATATATGTTTTTCAGTCCTGCTTTTCTGCATTTGTATTCTATAAATATATATTATAAACATACAAATATATTTCTATTCTACAAATAGTATATAATATTTAATATAAACATATTTAATTGTGTTTAATGTAATATAAAATAAATGGAAATAGTGTATACAAACATACAAATTTTATTTTGTAAGTTCAAGGATTTATGGAATCTAAGGACATATTCCTTATAAATATTAGGAATATGCTCTATAAACTGATAGCCCTGTGCTAGTGGTTTTAAAAGATGAAAAAAAGTGGTTTTTTTAACCTAGTGTGGCCCCTGGCCTTCAAAGCTCACCATCCAATTCTCTTGTCATGGTGAGTGACCTGACTTAATGGATGGCCACCAAGCAACAGCAGTTAAAGATTTATGGAATGTCTGAGGCAGCATCCAGAAGCCTGACACACTCTCACTGATCTCAGAATGCTTTCTTCCTTTTTTCAGTTATGCCTCCAACAAGGCAAGTAAAGCTGCTTCTGTTCTCCTCTATTCTTTGTGGACGCACACGGAGCTCCATAATGCCTACAAGAAGGTAAGTACACTAGAAAGGTGAGTGTTGCAGTTAATAGGCAGATAATAGTGGTCCCCTGGTGAGAGATCACTAAAAACATTTAGCATTTTCTTGGGGCACCTGGGTGGCTCAGTGGGTTGAGCCGACTTTGGCTCAGGTCATGATCTCATGGTTCATGAGTTTGAGCCCCATATCAGGCTCTCTACTGTCAGTGCAGAGCCCTCTTCAGATCCTCTGTACCCCCCTCTCTCTGCCGCTCCCCTGCTCATGTTCTCTCTCCCTCTCCCTCCCTCTCCCTCCCTCTCCCTCCCTCTCTCTCTCTCTCTCTCTCTCTCTCTCTCTCTCACAAAAAAAAAAATTTTTTTTAAACTGCATTTTCTTGGATGACAGTGTTGTTACCTTTCACATATCTGTTTGCTTATTCCAAAGGCTCAGTTTAAGAAGACAGATTTTGTCAACAGCCGGACTGCCAAAGCCTACCACTCCCTTAAAGACTGAGAAAATGAAACAGAGCTCTCCGAAATCTCAACCATCCGCAGCCATAAAAAAGCCCCAGAGGAAAACACCTATTTTTCTACTTCCCAGCTCAAGAAACCTCAAAAAAGCATGCCCTGTTTCTTATCCTTTTCTATTTCCATGGTCCCCAGAATCCAGAACACAAATAATCAGAATAATAATTTTATTAGTTTTCCAGAAGACTTTTGCAAGTTTGCTACCACTAGACACTGGTAACAGGCTTGATTTTATCCTCCACTAGTAGTGGTCTTTGTGATCAGGGCTTATGGCACAGGGCCTCCTGGCAGCAAAACGTGGATTCATGTGGAATGGACGTAACAGAATAAGGAAAGAAGTCATTGTATGACTAGGATTTTAAAAGTTTGATTTACATTTATGTTCCTTTCCGGTCTCCATGTTTTGTCACTCAAATGCACGTTGTTTCACCTTTGAGCTACGTGTGTGTGGTTCTGCGGTGTTGAAACAGAATGGAAATGACGAAGAATACTGACAGAGTTATCCAGGAGAAATTTTAATGGCAAAATTATATGTTTGTTTACTCTATGCTTGTTTTTATCCTCTTGAATATTTTTTCTCTGATTTTAAATGAACTTAAAAGTTTTAGATCACAGCGTGCATGACTCTAAGAAAGTGAAATTGAAATGAAGTGATGATAGCAACTTTAAAAATCTTTTCAAAGGCAACTGTGCTTATGAAATTCAGTGTTCCCTCTAAACACCGTGTAAATGCTTTTCTTGCTCAAGGAAAATATGAATAACAACACCATTAAATGCAAATCTCTTCTGAATAGTAGGATTCAGTGTGATCTATCTCCTGGATTTTTTCAGTTACTGCCATGGGCTGATAGAAAAATGGACTCTATATTCTTCAGCTCCAAAAGGAACCAAACCTCTCAAACAGCTGGGTGAGCCCAGGGCACTGAAAACACAGCTCATTTTAATGAATTGCATCATCAACCAGCCCAACTTTGCCCAACATTTAAAAAAATAGCGCAGAGCCTCTAAATCTCATGTGATCTTCCTCAAGCCATTATTTTAAATGAAGGAAACTCTAGAGCAAAAAATGAAGACGTTATATTGAGGGAAAATATTTCAAGGCCACCCAGAAATGATATGAGAAACACTCATGTTGAAAAGTTGACAACCTCGTTTGTCGAAGCAAGTGTTCTTTTAACTGAGCTCTGATTAATACCATTTCCATAGAATTAGTCTTCTCAATTACAATTCTGTTATATTTTGCTTTTTTAAAAAAAATCCAACAATGTTTGCTGTAAGAAAGTAGGAAGGAAAAATGTCTTTCAGCTCCTTTTGGCCAGAAAAGTGTAATAGAAAATAAATTCCCATTTTCAATTTGAATGTGTACTTAAGTCTTTATTACATTTAGGCATTAAAATTATTTTAATTTGAAAAGCTCAATGGAGAAGACTTAGGTTTCTAACCTAGTTCAAAATGAAATTAAATACCAATTTCTTTTTTAAATTTTTAAATGTTTATTTTTGAGAGAGAGAGAGAGAGAGAGAGAGAGAGAGAGAGAGAACGGGCGGGGGATGGGCAGAGAGAAAGGGAGACACAGAATCTGAAGGAGACTCCAGGTTCTGAGCTTTCAGCACAGAGCCTGATATGGATCTCAAACCCACAAACCATGAGGTCATGACCTGAGCTGAAGTCGGACGCTTAACCAACTGAGTCACCCAGGCGCCCCCAGATGTCAATTTTTAAATACTAAAGAGAGAAATCATCTGTCTTTTCAGAGGTTTGATGAATACAGCATTTGGAGCATATTTATTCCTCCAGATAACTGAAGTATGTTCAAGAAGTTTCTATGGTTTTTAAAGCACTAGTAAAGCCTTCAATGACTTTAAACACGAAAGGAGGCAAAATAATGTTGCCTGCATTGGTATCTGTGTATGTCTGATTATTGTGTATTGTGGCATATGTGGTATGATTGACATGACATTTGAGGACTTGACCTTATAAACTTCAGTTGCTAAGGATTTAATACTTTGTAATTATTTCTATTCCTTCCCTAATTAATGCCTAAATTCTTTACTAACAAATACTTCCTATAAGAAAATGGGACTGGCTAATGACTAAAGCTTGTAAAAAAGGAGAGACCTACGAATGTGTTAGATTTTAGTAAATTTGAGTGGGTCTGTGACCCTGAAAGGATAGACTCTGTCTGATCCCCATGTCCTGCTTTGTTCACCCTGATTACCAAAACCTCACTACTTTACTCTGTAGACACCTCTGAGGAGATCCTTGTGTGGTTGAATATCCATTTGGATCACAGTTCCACACAAAAAGTTCTTTTTTTTTTTAAGTGCATATCCTGACCTTGCCCATGTCATCAAGGGAACTGACAGGCTGAGCAGGGTCTTTTCGTGTATTTGTGCTGAGAGTTCCAAAGGGCTGCTGCCTTGTCAAGAATTCTTAATGGCATTCTGGAATATAGAAGGTTGCTGCCCTGGATTTCCATCGCTGGGAACATTTGTTTATATCTGATGGAAGTCACCAAAGGGTTATCTGGCAAGATAGGGGATTAACATGTCAAACGGGAAAAGAAGCAGCATTAGAAGATAGATAAACCTCTTTAAAACAAATGCAATCACCCTCCGAAGAAGCAATTTCTCAGAATAAAAAAAGGAAATAGGAAATACATATATTTAAATATATCCTTATATACATATACATACAACTTATTTGTACTGTAGTAGGAAATGAAATTTCCTCTAAAATGTGTAAAGAACTTATGCTTTGAAATGAGGATGACTTCAGCATGTTTGTACTTGGAACAAAATTGCAGAAGCCTCAAATCGGGATCTGAGGATTAAGACAGAATTTAGAGGGCATCTGGTCAGGTCCTCCTTAAAGTGACAGAGAAGAAAAATATGCAGTCACTCATTCAGTTCAGCATCACCCTGTAACTCACCCCAGTAACCGTTGCATTAAAGTATTTGTTGTGGAAGAGAAAATAAATTTTAAAAAAGGAAACAGAATTTTCCAAATAAAATTCTCCTTTAGCTGTAACGTTTTAGTTTACAGTGGTCCTGACAGTTTCATCTCATGAAATAAACTTCAGCCTTTTAAGGACTATAAGAAAAAGGAAAACTCTTCATATGATATATTCAGGAAAGAGAAATCAAAATGCCGTACATTGGTAAAAGCTGTTTAAGAGCTGAAGGGAAAGCATTCTGAAGCCATAGTCGGGAGACACAGTTAAAGAATCCAGCAATAGTTTGCCTGGAAGAAAGGTGCCATGTTACCTGTCTTTAAATACCTGAAGGACCATTGTATAAAAGTTGGCAGTCTTACTCTAACCAAGTAGAGGACAGACCAGGGCCGGTAAGGTAGAGACCTGGGAGAGTAGGTCTGACTAGACAGTAGTGACATGTATGGAGCACCCCTCACAGACTCCTTGTGAAGTATATACTCCTTTCTTTTTCTTTCTTTTTTTTTTTTTTTTTTTTTTTTTTTTTACATTTACACATGAAAATGATGTGAAGCAGAGAGAGGTTACATTCCAAGAAACGCAAAGCCCAAAAAAGTACTTGCTTGAATAGCCATATAAAAAGCCAGGTGGGTTAGCTCCTCACCAGGGGTTCCTTGGAGACCAAGAATGGAAAATGTGTCTCCATGCTGGGAATGTAGGATCTCAGAAGAGTTAAAGCGGGCAGTCTGACAATGGTGAAGAGGACTCATTCTAGAACCAGACAGTCTGAGCACAAAGTGTGACTTCCCCATTTGATAGCTGGGGCAAATTTCTTATTCGGAGTCTCAATAGCCTTCTTTATCTGATAGGGGTGAGGGAATAGTAGTATTACTTCATTAGATGGTTCTTGAAGGTTAAATGTGTTCATAGTTGTAAAATTTAAAACAGTGTCTGACAGAACCTGGGTGAAACCAGCTGGTTGAGCATCAGAGCTTCAGCTCGGTCATGATCCTCGTCGGAATTCAGAACCTGGAGCCTGCTTGCAGGATTCTGTCTCCCCTGTCTCTCTACCAGTCCCTGCTCACACTCTGTCTCTCGGCTCTCTCTCGAAACTAAATATTTAAAAGAATTTTAGCGTCCTGACGGTATGCAGCCAATAAATGCTAACTTGGAATTCCCTGGTTTGGAGGTTCTTTTCTTTTAATAATCTGTCTCTTTGAGTTTGTCTTTTCAGATATGGTTAGTTAAGTTAAGCCCCAATCTCCTCCCACCCCCCCAAAGTTACACACACACACACACACACACACACACACACACACACACACACACACACACACACACACACACACACCCCTTAAGGCCAGGTAAAAATGGGAAAACAAACACAGTCCCAGACAAATGATTCTGAATATTGTTCCCTCAGGACACAAGTCAGGAGGTATTTCGATGTTCTATGAAAAGGAATATCCCATAATCAAATCACGTTGAAGGGCTGAGTTATACAAGATGATTGTAAGACTTCTCAAGCTTCTTCAACATGTTTCATTCCCACCTGGAGTGTGGCTGAGATCTGCAGACAGGAAAATGCTTTCAGAAGGCAGTTATTAGCCCAGAGGAGCAGGCTGAGCAGCAGCAGACATTCTCACATCCAGCTGATCAAACCTTGTCATAAATCTCACACCAGTTCGAAAATCCTCTCAGAAGCCTGAATTTTGCCTCAGCTACTAAGATACAATGCATCTGGCAAGGAATAAAAACAAGTCCCAAACTTGCAGATTTTCCTAGCTATAATAGGATGTTCTTCCCCAGTAACAGCTAATCCTTTGGGTGTTTTGCTTTAGGGAAAAAAAAAAAAAAAAAAGAAGGAAGGAAGAAGTTCCACTTTTAATTATCTTTCAACATACATGTATTGAGAACAAGTGTTCCT